TGATTTATGATACGACTCTCGTGTTCCGAGACGATCCTGTGTCCATGTATCCGTGGTTAGTCTGGTATCCGAGGTCAACTCTCCCCCAGTGGCCGGTGCCACCCCTGGAGCCCTCTCTACGTACATTCGGCCTGGTCGCTGGAAGGATCAGCGAATCGTTGTCCGGTGACCATTGGTCTGACCGCTGAGCCGGCCTCAAATGAACCGGGCCTGGGCAGCGACCGAGCTCCGACCGGGTGGCTGTCGCGGACCAACAAATATCATAGAGCGACTCCGTGGGGGAAACGTGGAATGAAGGTCCGGCAACAGTGGTTATCATAGAACTACATCAACGGTCAGCCGAGACGAGAAGATTTCTTTCCTACCCTATTTTCACGGTTCTATTTGGTGCCAAATCAAATTTTCCAAATTCGTCGACAAAAAGCCAGCCACCGCGCGCCGTTCCAATTGCTGTGTTACTTTCACCTTCTCGGGGTGCCTTAAGGAATTCAATTGAATTGGTGTTCTTAGCGAGTCTGCTAATGCCAGTAATGTGATGTTCGTCAGACCATATGGTGCCACCGCGAGCAGGTCGGTCTTTCTAACAGGGGAGTCAATGCAGCACCTCAGCCTAGTTAGTGTTATTTTCTCCTAATTGGCGGGCAGCTGATACTTGAATTAAGTAATGTTGAGGCATTGTATGTAGGCAATATTACGCTGAATCGCGAAAATAGGCTAAAAAGACTGTAAATCTTATTTATGTAGGCAAATGATACATAAATAGAAATTATTGAGGAAAATGTCCTTTCAAGCATACCCACTTATATACTGTGTGGTAAGCGCGTTAATGACCAGAATCCAAGCAGCCGGCATCTGTTGGTAAGTAGGTTGCTTTGTACTGTGTCCATCCTGTGTCGAGTCGGTGTCACATAGTTCTGCTGTCACAAATTGTCGTGTGAATAAACGTGCACTGAAAGGATGAAAAAGTAGCATGCATAACATGCATCTTTGAATGATATAGATACCGACTGTACTCGTATGTATACAAGCATCAACGGGGTCCGTTTTAATCGATTGTTGAAATGGCAATTTTGCACCTTTCTTCTGCAGGCTCCATCTGAATTGACTAAGAAATGAAACCAAACAGAGAAGGCGAAAGTAATCTACCGCAATATGACGCAGGCCCTGTTCACTATGTTTCGAAACTACTTAATGACCTCTGTAGGTACTCGAATAAGTCATTTTAACGGGCAGGTCACAGCAGCACTCAACACTAACTTGGGATTTCGCAAATTGGCTCGGACATTATGGCTCAGCAAATGACTGAACGCATACGGGAATAAGGCCTCATTGATGGCAACACTCTGAGCTGATTTGGAATAGCTTGCATTGGTTAGAACAATGGTCAAATAAGCGACTCAACGCATTTGGGATTTATGGCGTATGAATGATGAATAATTCCATCTTTACTTAATCACCCACAACAAAGGCATCTTTCAGCACTATACCTAATCACTCGTTGTTTGATGATCGTTGAAATCCAAATAAACAACCTCAGATATAATACATGCCATAACTCATAGCCAACAAATTTTCGTGAATATCAATGCCTTACAAAGTACCAACATATTTTGACCACCGAAGGCTTCGTCCAGGACCCATTTGGCACATCATCTCCACTGATGTTCTTAGCCATGCAGCGGGCGTGATGCCGCCTAAATATATGGGTTGTTTAGACCAGGGTATATTGAATGAACGGACACAATTCTGTCAGCGCATGAACGGTTTAGACGGACATGTGTCGTCTAGTGGCCAATGAAAGCATGTGACGAATGCCGTGAAATAAGGCAGGATAAGCAGACAGACCGAAGAGCAATATTTGGTGTTATTTTGTTGGTTTTGGGAAGCGCGCATTTTGGGCACTATTCGGCTGTTGCTTGCTTAGTACAAAGATGACAGATGTCATAGAAAGGTAAGTGGCAGTCGCAGATTTTCTCAGACCGTGTCCGCCCCAACAATGAGGAGAGAGGGAGGGAGAGAGAGAGAGAGAGGGAGAGAGACTGGGAAGAGGGGAGAGACCCATTTTCTGTAATTTCCTGATACAGTATCGCGCGCTCCCCACCCGTTTAAATGAGCACAAAGACTTATCTCATTTCACTCCGTCGCTGTACAGCTTAGTAGAACAATTTAGCTGCGTGTTTTAAAGGAGTCCTGAAAATGGCAATAGGGATTTAACTACAGATAACATACGGTGTATTCTACATTAATCAAACGCGAGTGTCGTGTAATATTTCACATTGCTCTGAACACTACCGATGATAAATTGTTTTACTTATGTGCATGCCGACGTTTTGATTGAGAAGTTCCGATCTCCTCTAACGGCCTTGAAGCGGAATATTGGGCATCAATCTATATTGCATTTGGGAGCCATTCCGAGTGTCGCGGGCGTAATGCCGCTATGATATGGGAAATATGTCACGAAGAATGTCTTTGGAAACTGCACCGCAAGGCGCACCGTAGTAAAAAAAGGTTTGGTTAAACTAACAAGTTAATGAACAAGCTTATGCTCATGAACATGGGCCAAGCTCATGAGCAGGATAAAGAGGCTTTGTCGTGTATTGAAGCTTTACACTCACGTGGAACACAGGTATCGAAAGATAAGAGCAATCAGAGGGCTATTATTTGATGGCAATTCAACACGATCGGAGACCGCAAGTAAGACTGCCATCTGAAAGACGAACTTCCCTGCAGCGATACCCATTACCCAATCTGAACTCCGACTCCGACTTGACTTCATGCATCCCATCACTCCACAAATAAGCCCTCATAATTGTAATGCTCCCACTCCGCCCAACTTCCCTGCTTTCAAGTGCTGTGGTCTGGAGCTGACTGGACTGCCGAGGAGAGGAACTTTGTAGGCCAGCCCGACCTTTGACCCGGTGTCGCCCGCGGCGGGGCTGCCAGATCGGGCGCCGGAGGGCAGGGGCGCCGGTATAGCACGGCGGCCGAGTCGCCGTCACCGCGAGCGAAAAGGTCCCTGTCGTGAGTGCGAGAATGCACACTGCCATTTGGCCGGGCGTTGAATGTACTGTTTATTGGAGAGTAAGGTGGTTCAGCTCAGAGAACTGTATGTCGCGTAGCGCCCCTCTGGTGCTGGGCCCCATTTTGGCCGGTTTAAGAACCTACATAATACATGGATTACCGAGCCGGTCTACTTATGCGATATAGAAGACACAACGAACCGCTTCTGTTTCCAGTTTAGTCGCTTTGTGCTAGTGCTGAGTGCTGAGTTGTATTCGTTGCATCTTGAACTGCAAGATGCAACGAATACGAATGATGGGCAATCATCGCTGTGTTAAGACGGTATATGATTACATGTTGTTTCATAAAAGCTTGCCTCCTAAGTCACCGAACTATTGACATTAACTGACACACACGAGCATCAAAATTTATGTGAAAACATCGGCTGGGCACGTTGCTTGTTAGGCAGGGCGTGAGTTCTAGCTTTCAAACCCAAGTCTCGACAGCATCTAATAAAGGGCGTATGCATGCCTTATCCGAGGGACTAGTGACCGATCTTTTGATTGTGACGTACCGAATCTTTTTGTGGGAATGACTAACAAATAATGGGTCCTTAAGTCAAATCGTAACCACTTTAAAAGAGGTCAAAATGCAGCAGTATCGATACATGTGTCTGATTTCGACCGCACGCTAAATTTGCACTCGATTCTCAGTGAGATAAAGGAGTACAAAGATGATATAAAGGCATCTTCGGCTGCAATCCATGAAGAGCGCGAAAGTTGCCTTTACAGGTGTCACACTTCTCTTATCTCGGCGGCAGACGTATCGAGGCTGGGGAGCGGTAGCCTGTTGTTTGACTCGCGTTTCCATAAAGCCAGCTGGCAGGAGCGGTCGCGGCTACCGGCTAGACCTGACAGGATCATACCACCATCCGCACCTGCGGTACATTAAACTCTCGGCTCAAATCAGCACCAGCGCATCGGGAACGGCAGCCGGCCGCAGGGCGGCTCCGAACTGTCTCGCGTAACAAGAACCGCTTCATATCGCGTCCGGTCCATAGACAGTCGCCGGCAGATTCGGACTAAATTTATAAAAACACAAAAATACGATATGTGTTTTTGAACTTTTAGTTTATAATCCACGGTTTTGAGCTATGAAGTCTAAGTACAGCAAGTATTATTATAGCATTGAGCTTGCACAGGCTGTCGAGTGGACATTTCCAAGCGCAGTGCTTTATCTCGGCTATGGGCCGTGCTCAATTATCCATTCGAATCAACCAATCAGTATTGAAAGCGGTCTGGCGTCGTTACATAGTGCGGCTCAAACGGAGATTGATAGCCTGTTGTTAAAGCTAAACAAGATCCATTGAACGCCACTCCGAAGCCGTTTCATTGGCCGAAAGTCACCTTAGCCGGACCGCGGAATGATTTTATCCCAAAGCGCCTCCATTTGGTAAGTTCCCTGCTTGCGGCGGAGCAGGTACACATTTCTTTCAAGAAATGAACCAGAAATGAGGCTGCTGATGTTTTCAGGATATTGGGCTTCAAAAGTGCACCAACTGAACAACATTTTGTAATCCGGGCAAATAGAGAGGGAAAGAGGGAAAGAGGCCATATGCTGCTTTTTGTTTGTGGAGAACTGCTGGGTTTAATGTTGGTAGGTACCTATAGTTTTTTTTTTTGACAGTTGCAACACATTTTTGCTGCCATAAGTGATTAAGATTGTTTCTTACCTTTGTGTCTTACGTTTTAGGAACAATATGTAGTAATGATTCATCAATAGGTAATATTGCTCTTAGAACGTAAACGCTCATTGCTTAGCAATAATCACAACTAACCGATTTGCATTATAATTAAAATATTGCTTCTCTGGCAAGGCGCTACTGACGGACACCGTGAACACTGAACAAGGCTTGTTAACAAATTGCATTATATTCTTAACCGTAACACATCGGGAGCAAAGTGGCGAGGATTCCATGGCCCGTCCATTTAGCGACTTACGGTTCCCGTCAGCTCCCGGTGTGGCTGGGCCCGATGTCGGAGGCGCCGGTCGTCCCAACCAGGTGCCGCGGGTGAACACCTCGCCTCCCGACTCCCTGCTCTCGCCCTGTGCCCGTAACCGGGTCTCTGATCGCAATGTACCGGCACGCATGGTCAGAAGCCCACACTCTTTATACGGACTCCTCCTCACTGACGTCATATGGCAACGGTCCAATCAGAGGCCGTCTTAGCGGCCGACGACCGGCCAGTGCGCCGAGTTGATTTTAGAGCGGGTGGGCAGCTATTGCATGGAAATTGCGATTGGAGCAAATCGTCGTTTTATGTGGGGCACACAATATTCGCCGTAGGAGACGGATCTCTGGGGAAAATAGACTAGTAAAGCGTCGACTGATTTGTCAGCTTGTTGAAAGACATGGCTACAGTGCTTCAGGCATGGCCTGTTTCAGGCATTTTCGGATGAAGACCTAAGGCCTCTTAAAACAAAATTTACCCCGGATGTGTTGGAAGCGGATGGATGTGTTGCGGAGCGGAGCGGATGTGTTGGAAGCCGGTTTACATGGGTACCACTCTAGCTGGATTTGTCGTGGAAGAAGCCACCGGCTCACCATCACACCCCGTTCACCAACGCCAGCAGCTAGTCAGTCGATGATAACATTGAACGCACCTCAGACTGAAGTGACATGGTCCTTCCCGGCCCGGGTCTATAGTGTCCCCCTAATAAAGGTATGACCGGTGCTCTGATCAACCGACGACCCGTCTCAGCTCAGTCTCAGTCCGAGCTCGGTGCCATCGTTATCCGCCCCAGAGGGCCACACATCTACGACAGACCACCATTCACTCATTTTCGCGTGTATAACATTGCCAATGCCAACGTAGGAGGGTGTAGGTTGTCGCATCCGCCCCAGGTACCGTCCCTATTAAAGAACAACGATGCGATTACGCTGAGATGCTGGTTTGAAAGTGACGACCTTAAGAGTTTCTTTTTCATTCTACAGCCAACAAAAGGATGGTAATGGAAAAAAGTTCTAGTACTAAGTGCTTGACTTGTTTTTCATTCTGGGGAAAATAGTGGCTGTAATTTACCTGCTGAATAGTTCATCTACACTGAAAACAAATTAAAGGCCAGCGAGTAAACCGGTGTTTTGCGGGTACCCCTATCCACAAGCATTTTTAGCCACTCTCCCAGGATTCAATTTAGGGCATTACACTTCGCAATTCACTCTGGAAAATAGTAACCCTCCACGACTATTCGCGCACCAGTGGCTCGCGACCCCTCCATCGAAAGGTATTCATTGACGCCTACCTGGCAGACGCGCCCCCACAAACCCCTAAGAGAGCCGAGAGGGGTTATCCTCCGCGCCTACCCTTCGCTGACCAAGTCACGAGGGTCCAAAAAACTCCCACGCTTGTTCATTTTTGAGAGAATATATCAATAAAATGACAATCTCACACCCAGAAAACATCGGTGAGAAAGTTTCACATCGGTGGGAAAGGTCAAATCGAACTCCCATAGAAAATTCGACATGACCCTATCACCAGCGCCGTGTGCAGCGTCACCCCAAAACATGAAGGTGTGTCGCCATTTGTTTCCTTTCGGTCTGACGAGACCATTTCAGAGCCGGAAGGATGATAGGAATTAGGGGGAGACATTGGTCTGGGCAGGCACCCTAGTGAGTCACCGGGGCTGAGCCCGTCCAGAGGGGGTTCCGGACAAAATATCGAAATGCAAAATATCGAGTCGCAAAATATCGAAGGTAAAATATCGAAGTGACAAAATATCGAAAGCAAAATATCGAAAAGCAGAATATCGAAATGACAAAATATCGAGTCGCAGAATATCGAAATCGCAAAATATCGAATAGCATAATATCGAAGCTGCAAAATATCGGAAGATAAAATATCGAAAGACAAAATATCGAAAAGACAGGATATCGAAAGACAAAATATCGAAAGACAAGATATCGAAAAGGCAAAATATCGAAAGACAAAATATCGAAAAACGCCAGCTGGTGTTGAATAGCTGCAGATGGGTTGGATATAAAAATATAGCATCGCCAAGGAAGTTTGGGCATCCTTTGCCATACAACGTGTCTCGTGAGACGTGTGACGTAGGTATTAAGGACGTGTTGTTAGACATCCACTCTCTAATGCTGGGTCAAAAAGTGCACCTATTTCAAACATGCTCAATGCTTATTTCTAATGGCACTTACGATACTGGTAAATTTAATATTTTTTTCTTCTATAAAAACACTCAAGTCTGGAACTTTATGTCACCCATGGGTGACAACATAGGGGGACGGGAACGAAGAGGATTTTGATCCAAGTCTACAGAGTGGGGAGGATTAGCCCTTCAAGTCTGGGTGATGCTCCTGGTCGTATTTTCTTCTTTTTATTCAAATGCATTATAGAAAACACCGGGAGAACGAAAATCCTTACACTTAGAAGCAACTTTACCTGAATATGACAGCCATGATGTGCAGCACAGGCATCTCGGAACATTTGTGGCATATCTTGGTGCGAGAATCGCAAGTTTATTTTGGCTCCTGTGCTGCGTAACAAATTATATTTTTGTGCAGCACAGTCGAAACCCTCACGTAAGCGGATGTAACTGACGAGTAGATAAAGGGCGCTATTTTATTGTCAGTGGAGCGGAGTCAGTGAAATGATTTGTGCCTAGGGTTTCACAAGAGTTGGCTGGGGATTTGAGGTTAAATTCACGCCGAGGTGAGTGTCTCAGTCTCTGACTGAGCTGACTAGCGAAGCTGACTGACAGCTTTGCCGTGGTTTCGGCGTATCTGAACACACCCGACAATCTTGAAGACTACGAGATAAAGAATCGTGGAAACACGAAGGATAATATTTTCAGCAATGCGGTCATTTTTTACCAAGAGGCCAGTCCTACCAAAAGAAAAATCGCCGCCGGCTCAAGCCGCCCAGTATTTCGCCAACCAATCGAATAAAAATGAAGATAAAAAACGATCAATTTAAACGTGTACTTAATCGAAAACTGCCGTTTGCTGGTGACCTTCCATGACCTGACATGACCTTTTGAGTGAGCACTGGTCATCAGCTGCACTTTGCTCATTGGATATGGGTGGCGATCCTGATCCTGTAATGATCCTGAAACTGTGTTGCAGTTTTCGCGCGTTTGTTCAAGACATCAAATGAGGCATGCGCACTTTTCCTGAATTTCTTTTTGCTGGTGAGATCAATGAATCCGGACTGACAGAAGGTCGTAAATAAAAAAATACGAAACATGCGAATGGCTGGCACTGCTACTCTAATGCGTTAACACAACGTCTATGAAATCATCCCCAGGACTGAAAGGACCACAAATATATTTTTTAAAGGCAAAGTTAGTTGACCAGGTGAGCTGACCAGTGGCCATAAGTGTCATGGGATCACCGTCTTAAAACGGAATGCAACATTCGATGTGTTTTGGGCTGTTAGGTTTCAAAAAGCCTCGGTTTTTAAGTTCACGAGCGGTACCTCTATTTGGGTTTCCAGTCGGCCAATCCGTCCCCTATGCCCGGTCAAAAATATCTGGCGCTGCCTCAAGTGTTATCCTATGATGTCACAGGGCAAGTATAAGAAAAAAAGATGAAAGCTCCATCGCAGCACATTGCCACAGAAAAAAATATATGATATCTCTTAGGCATTATACATATATGCACATATATGTAGAAACTGCTCATTAAACTAGTTCTTGCGTAGCCGGAAAAAAATAAGTCACTTATTGGATAGTAGGTAAGGGCCCATAGAAACAAATTATTAGGTAGGTACTTACATACCTTTAGTTATAAGCCTAAAGCATTTCTTACCATGACATCAATAAAGTAAGCCATGGTTGCGTTACCTATCAACTTGATTCAAACAGTTCAGTAAAAAGTCGCAAATCGACCAATACTGTGGAGCGCCCTAGAGCCCCAATTAGCTAAACAAAATCAATATTTTTACAAAGCTTCGAACCGATGGAACAAAAGTAACACGTTTGCTGTGGAGTAGCAGGTAGCCCGAGTTTATGATGCAACGTTTCCTCAGCTTTTCCAATGATGCGCGCCGGTTTCATGGAAGCCGCGCCAGTGACAGTACGCCACACACGGCCGGCCACCGCGGCACCTGAGGAAATCACTGAACCAACAGATACCCGCCCATATTGTGGCAGTGTCGAGAGAAAAATCAACACCTATGACTGACTGGCAAACTGATTGTAGATAAAGTCGCCTCTGTCCGCACTGCCAGTGGTGGAAGCAGCTCGTAGGCGAGTGCTGTATAATTGAGTTCATTCTATCAGCCCGCGGGTCAATAGGTGGGAATGAAAGGTCAAGCAGCGGTCCGTGGAGGGAGGGGGACCTCAACTAACTATGTAGTTGGTTAGCTGGGTATGTACGCATTGGGCTCAGCAAATGAATTATAAATGTGCAGACGTTTTGTCGACTCATGATTCTGACAGCTTTTTATGCGGTCAACTGTATTTCCACCTTTCCCGTGGCGTGCGGTACAGTCTATCTTCAGGCGCAAACAGTAGTGATATCTAGCGGTAGCGGTACAACATAGACTGGGAGATGTGCGGCACAGCATAACTTCAGGCGTATACCGTAGTGACACCTAGCGGCAACACACGTGAAATTCGGTACAGTAGGTATAACTGTAAGCGCTCTCTCACATACTTGTAGGGACACGATTTCAGCCCCTGACAGGAGGGATACCATCACAAAATGACAATGCGCCGCCTTAGGTATAGAGAGTGGGGTAAGATACCCAGGGTGGGGAAGACGCCCCACCCCCTCTAGCGGCGAAACAAATAATCGAACCAAGAAATTAATGTTTTTAGCGTAAAGCAGAAGCCTGCCTTGTTAGCTGCACAAAAATTTGCGAAGCTCAGTTGGGCAACGGCTGGCTGGCGAGTGCATGCTTTTTATTTGCTGCTTTCAAAAAATATTTTGGTGTTAAAACATTGTAAATATCAAAGAAGGTACACAATTTTATGTCCCTTGCTATGGTCGTGATACATTAACATACGTGTGCTGTGTCCCAAACAGTTTGTTTCAGGGTGTAGTTTTATGGCTAACAAATTGCACTGATTTAACCCTATTCCTGGCGGGGGGGGGGCCTCAGGAGCCCCCCCCCCCCCTGAGGTTTTTGGTTA